TCTCTCACATGCACACGCCTGCCGCAGCAGCAGTAGCATTCCACAATAATGGTTTGCTTTGTGTCCCGGAGCAGATAAGCATGCCGGCTGTCAGAAACGGAGCTTTGAAAGGGGATATCTGCAGCAGAGTTCAAAACAATGACCAGAGTGACCACTTAACTTCAAGGGATTATGGGATGTTTCTGGAGGCCAGTCACAGTGCAGTAATGCAACAGGTCACCCACACTGACACGCGGGCGTTTCAGCCAGGGCGCAGCAAGCTCTATGCTTCTTGTGGTGGTGGATTACCAGGGGCGTTCTCTAAGTGCCTTGCCAGTGTGGATACCTCAGGAGTTAGGGCGCCTGTGGCTGATTTAATGTGCTCTAGCTTGCAAGTGTAGCCAAGCCCTAGGAGCACTTGCAGCGACTGAAGTGGGGCACTGAGAGCTGTGGGGTGTTCACAGCCACTGTTGGAAGACAGGATACTGGGCTAGATGAACCATTGGTCTGATCCAGTATGGCCGTTCTTGTATTCTTTCCTTCCCTTCAAAGAGAAGTGGGGGAAGAGTACTAATCCCACCTCTTGTTTAGTTTTCTAGCATTTCGTATGCTCCTAAAAGATTAAAATTCTGATGTAGGATAATTTTTTTTTTATTTCCCCAACTCACTGGAAGAAGTCCAATGAGGGTAGTGTCTTAAGCCCTGCCTGTCTCACAGAGATAGACACCTAAGTCCAGGCTGCAGGGAGGCACCTATCTCTGCGAATGATCCATGAATGGGAATCCCTCTCCTGGAGATGGATGGAACTTGTTTTCTGTGGGAATGAGTTAGGCACCTGCCTCACTCCACACACACTGTGGGGAGGAGGTGCCTTCTCTCCGCCCTCCCTTACAACTTTTAGCCCAGTGCTTAGAGTGTTGCCTGGGATGTGGGGGACCCAGGTGTTCTTCTCCCCCCGCCTCATTCTACTGGAGGGGGAGAAGGAGACACAGAGGTAGGACTCGAACGGGTGTGCTCTAACCATTGAGATATGGGATATTCTAATGTGGAGTTCCCTCAGTCTCTTCTTTCGAAGCTGTTCCACTATGGATACATAATGAAAGAGTGATGGGATCAATGCGACTGGACCCTGTGTCTGCCATCTTTCAAGTGAATGCCCTAACTATTGGACTAGAATCATACTCATGCTCTCGCTCTGGCTGAGTGACTGTTCTGCTGTGGATGAATAGTTTAATAGTCACTGACCAGAGAGAGTGACATTTCATGATGGTGGTTAGGGTATCTACCAGGGAGGTGGGAGACCCAGGGTCTAGTTACCTTGCTGCAGTCACTCCTTTATTTATCCACAGTGGAACAGCTGCAACCGTAGAATTTGAGTGAGTCCCACATCAGAATATCCCATAGCTTTGTGGTTAGAACACTCCTGCCAGCAACTGAGGCAGAAGAATGCTTCTCTTCCCGCAGTTTATGGATCGCTCTGGAGCTTAGATAGATGTGTCTGGGTGCCTAGAGAATCAACATTGAGAATGCCCAGTGATGCCTATAGAACATTTTTACCTTGAAAACTTAGATGCCGAGTTTAGGTGCCTACAGGACTGGGCAGAAGTTTCGTGGATTGCAGTAGAGCCTAAATATGGGATTTAGGCATCTAAATCTAAGGCTTAAGTGCCTTTGTGGCTTGGAGGCCATAGTTCTTAACTGGCAAGTTAACAAGACTTGCTTGCTAAATAAACCCATACGTTTAACCCCTTCTGGTCTTAAACCTGGAGTAGCAAGCTTTCTTTCCTAAATCCAATTTGTGGGTGCTCTTGATACAGATGAGTTCTTTATAGAAATCTGAAGGCCTAAGATAGGTAATTGCATTCTTTCTCTAATTATCTCACATAATAAGTATTTCTGTTTTTGTTTCAAAAGGTAAACCTATTTTTGTGTTCAATTTTATTTTTAACCCTTTTGTGGCTGTCTGGATATTTTAGAAAACTGATAGTAAAAGATTATTTAAGTCTAAAATATTGATTTGCTGCTTTGAAAAGATTGGGAAAGGGTGAATTGTGATGTTGTACACAATAGAGTGGTTGTCAGTAAAACTTGATTTCCCACACTTAACCACATAATGGTATTGGAGGCAGTGTAGTTGTGATCTGCATTCTCAGTGGACCATCTCAGATTTAAAATTTTTATTAAAGCTAATGTTAAAATTATATAATACACAGATTGAGAAAAGTGTGTGTTCATTTGGGTATAGTGCTAGATTAAATACAAATACAAAGTTTGTTTTTAAAAGTCATGATACGTTAGTACATAATCAGCAATAATTCAAATTTAGGTGAATAAATTTAAGACCGTTTAGATATTTAGTGTCCAAGTATTCGGGTACATCATTCATGAAAAGTTGTACAGAGATTTGGTTGTGGAAAGCAAAATATATCAATGAGTGAAGACTGTCCCTCATACAGCCACAGGCACCAACTTTCCTTGGTGCTGGTGGGTGCTCGTGCCCGCCCCGACTCCGCTCCCTCCCTGCCCCATTGGACCCCTCCCCAAATCCCCAGCCCCGCCTCTTCCCTGAGCACGCCTCTTCCTTCCCCTCCCTCCCACCGCTTGCCGCGTGAAAAGCTGTTTCATGGCGCAAGCACTGGGAGGGAGGGGGAAGAAGCTGGACTCTCCGGCGCACTTAGGGGAGGAGGTGAGCTGGGGTGGGGGGGCGGCACGGGGAGCACCCACCAATTTTTCTCTGTGGGTGCTCCAGCCCCGGAGCACCCATGGAGTCGGCGCCTATGCATACAGTAAGGCCCAAATCATGCAAAGATGCATATGTATAGTTTTTATGCCTGTGAGTAATCTCATTGGGTGAAATTTTGGTCCCATTGAACTTAAGGGTTTTACTGTTCACTTCTAGCAAGAAACCGACAAAAACAATGACCACATAGAAGTCATTTAATTAGTGATTTAAAAAATACATTAAGTTTTCTATTCTACAGAATTATTGTGTTAAGAGGAAATCTTAAGAAATATTGCTAAGATGGAGCTTTGCAAAATAAAATCTACTCTTTTGACAGCTGGAAGATGGACATACTTTATTCGATTACAATGTTGGACTTAACGACATCGTTCAGCTTTTGATACGGACTGAGTCTGATGCTCCTACCACTTCCTTGCCTAATAAGGATGGAGAAGTCAACCCGTGTGCTATTGCCAACTGTAAGAACAAAGTCAAGAGAACAACAGGGAGTGGATCGCCCAATCAGCCATCTACATCTGCTCGGTCATTTCTCATTGATCCTGGCATTGGATTGTATAAGGTATTTGCAAGTTTTGAAATCATCTTGTTTTGTATTTCTAGGTTCAGTTCTATAGCTTATATAGACCCAGATCCTTGAAACACTCTCATGTGCTTAACCTTAAACATGAGCATAGACCCACTGACTTCAAATTTAACATTAAGCATGTGTATAAGTATTAAGAGAATCAGGGCCAGTTGTACTGTCTGGATTGTTTTAATTAAAGATTTGTTAAAAATGATGATCACACGTCTGCTACAGCATCTAGGTACAGTAGGTAACTTCACTATGATGGGATTTAGGTGTTTAGTTTATGTCTAAGACTCTGATCAGTATACTGAAGGCACATACTTAAGGTTAGACATGTGTAAGTAACTTGCTGAACTGGGCCTAAAATAGTAAGCCATCTTACTACAAAAATGTTTAGATTTAAATTTGCACAGTAAGAGGTCAAATGTATTAGAAAACCTTGGTCTTTTTTTCTCCTCATCTGGGCAGATGATCTAGTCTTGCTGCAATGTAGATGGACAAACTAGAAATTACAGATTTCATGGTAGGCAGCCTCTTTTCTGCTTTGTCCAGCGTCTGTCTATCTTGTGAGAAATTGGAGAGCTGTCTTGTGTGCAGGGTAGTGTTCAAGGCGATAGAAGAAAAATGCTACTTATGCCCTAGCTGAGGCTTACAATTTGAGTTGCAAGTTGGAGAAACAGCTTCATGAGGCTCACTCTCCTGATATGAAGTCACTTTAATATGTCCTAAAAGTTGTTGTTACAATATCAGCATAACAGATGGGAGATAATTTTCTGATCATACCTCACTTGCACTATCCAACAACATCCCACACAATCGGCATTATAACACCACCAGCTAGGAAGCAAGGAGGCGAAAAACCTGTCAGCTACATCTGATATAAAGACACCGGCTTTCCCACTTCCTATCCACTAATTTTCCCTCTTCTTTCTTTCTTTCTTACACTAGAATCATAAAGCCTGTTCTTCAACTCCTGTGCTCCCAAAGTGGCGTTAGCTTTGATGGCAGGAGAGCACTTCTGCTGACGAAGCGCTGTTCACACTGGCGCTTGTCGTCGGCAGGACTCTTGTCTTTCAGAGGTGTTAACCTGCCCCTCCCCCCAAAGACACAAGTTTTGTCGTTCAGTTGCCAGAGTAGACCTAGTCTAGAAGAAGATAAAGGATGAAGGAAAACACCACAAATCAGAAAGAACCTAGAAAAGATGGATTTCTCAGAGAGATGCTAAAATAAACACTTTTATCTTTACAGTTCTCCTAGATTAGGCTTCTGTTTTTGCCACTACCCAACTGGAAGCCCTTTTCTCTTCACTCTTACGCCTGGCTCTCCTGGGTTTAAGAAGTTCATCTTATGCGGGGCTGCCTTCTCAATAATGGATGGCTACCTACAGTGTATCTGCTATCTGGGAGAGGGACACGTTCCTCAAAAGTTATCCCACTGCCTCGACCTGAAACCCAGAGCCAGAAAAGATAGGGACCTTGGATTGAAACTTCTCATGGAGAAATCACTTCTTCCGGCATCAGACCCGAACTCTTCCCCCGAGAGGCCCTCAGGTTCTACCAGGTCATTTGTCAACTCCACTATTCCACGCCCTGTCAAGAGAGTCATCCTGTGAGCATGCGGATGACAAGAAATGGGCTTCCTCCTCCTCTCACTCTGAGCCACAGCCCATCAGAACACTGTGTTTCCAGCTAGGTTGGTGGCTTCAACCTCATTTGACAGGGGACATAACTCCAGGGCTTGTCTAAGTATCTCTAGTACTAGCTTAAAGAAACCTGTCTAAAGACCCTATCCAGGCAGACCTTCAGCCCTTGGTGCCGTTTCCCAGCTTTGAGGACCGAGGCAGCCCACTTGCAGCACTAATGCCATTTCTGGCACCAACAAAGCCATTGGCACCAGGCAAGTCTTTGGCACCAGCTAAATCTCTGGTGCCATCTTCTGAAACTTCAGGGATGTAGACCCTCTCTTTGGCGCTGGACTTACAACAGCACCGATGATGTTCCTTCCTCCTCCACAAGACTTCAGATACCTAAAGACCTTCTGATATCTGATGCTCCTGAGTATCCCCTTCTTCGACTGGCCCTCCCCCCACTTCTACCCTCCTCTAGACTCTCAACATTCCTCCCTCTCTTCGCCGAGGATCTTCTCCAGTGAGGAGGAGGACGAGGGCAAATTGCACCGCGTTATCCTCGCTATACGACCCCCCCCCCAATCCTGGCAGGGACCACCATGGATGCAGCCACATGTGCCACTCCCACTAAACTGGCCATATTGGGACCCTTGGGCTATTTACGGGGCACAATTCAGGAACCCTCCCAGAGATCAAAGCTGGAGACCTACTCCTCCCTTCTCCATTGGCGTCTTGCCGTCAGGAAGTTGAACCGTCACCAGTACCAACTGAGGAGGAAGATGAGGAAAAAGCAGGCTTCCCCAACTTTACATTTTTCCTTCTCCTCACCTGAGAAGGCGATTATACCTCCATCCCCTAAATCTGCCGATAACTTCAGGCAGTTCCAAGATCTATTCCATAGGATTGTAGACTCCCTACAGATCCCACTGGAGGAAGTCAAAGACTGGTAGCATAAACTGCTGGATATCCTCCACACATCCTCTTCCGCAAAGATCACACTACCAATCAGTGAAGCTTTTCTTGAACCTGCAAAGGTTCTGTGTCGGACCCCGTCTTCCATCAGTCTGACCTGCAAACACGCTGATAGAAAATATTACATTCCAGCAGAGGATGCTGAATTTTTATTTTTGCATCCCACCCCAAATTCTTTAGTGGTCAGTGTGGCACAGGAGAGAGGTCATTAGTACCAATCTTGATCTAGCCATCCAGACAGAGATTGGAAATGCCTGGACTTACTTTGATGCAAGACCTACTCTGCAGTCACGCTACAGTTGAGGATTTCAAATTATGGCCAAGTATAATTATCTAAACTACTTTAAATTAGAGAAACTTAGCCATGATCGATCAGAGACTTAAAAAGGAGCAATTCCAGTCCTTGATAGTGGAGGGACACCACCTAGCCTGTATGGCCCTACAAGCCTCATTTTAGGCTCTCCAGTCACCGATCCATTGCAACTGCTATGGTCATGAGACTTGCATCATGGCTACATCTCTTGGGCATTCCTAAGGAGATACAAACCACAGTATAGGACATACCATTCAAAGGACAGAAACTATTCTGGGAACGCACAGATAACTCTGCACTCCCTTAAAGAATTAAGCTACACTTCATTCTCTCAGGATATATGCGCCAGAAGCAGACACACTTGGGGAAGTACCAACTCCCCTCGTGATCCCGAACCCAACAGTACACCCCTCAGTGACATTACCACACCCAACGACGTTGACAAAAAGCTCCAACTAAATGTAGACTCCCCCCACTTCTGAAGGGGCTACATCTCACTCACCAGCACCAAAGCAACTATTTTGAAGGTGTGGTCGAGGCCCTGAGAAGCCTTCCCTTGTTCCAGTCATCCTCACCATCTCTGATGTTCCAACAGTTTGGCAACCGACTAGCTCCGTTTTTCCCATCTTGGAGTCTAGGCCCCTCATCACATGGCAGCGGCCATATTTGTGGTCAGACACGCAAGACTGCACATGCGATGTCTTCAAGCATGGCTCCATTCCGTATACCTCCCCCACAAACATAGCATTCACAAACTTTTATCTATATCAGGGTGAGTCAAGGATTCACTACTGTGATGGACACAGCCCGACAAGGTCTATGTTGGAGTTCTGTTCCTATCACCATCACCAGCTATGATCCTAATCACCGATGCCTCCTTAATTGCTTGGGAAACGCATCTACACACACACATAGTGCAGAGCAGATGGTCGTCGACCGAATCCATCTTACGCATCAACCTCCTAGAGCTACGAGTGGTTTGCAATGCCTGCTGATGTTTTTCTTCTTCTCAAACAGTATACCGTAAGAGTGTTGACGGACAATCTTGCCTTCATGTATTATATCCGACAGGGCGGGGTGAGGTACCACTTGTTATGCATGGAGACAATCAAACTGTTCTGGATAAACCAGTTCCACATTTCTATTTCAGCCACGTACCTTCTGGGACACCAGAATACCACCACAGACATACAAAGCAGGACATTCTCACACGATCACAAGTGGGAGCTGGATATGTGAGCACTTCACCCCATATTCAATCATCCCACCATAGATCTTGGACACTCACCACAACTCCTGCTGCCCTCAATTCTGTTCTAGAGTGGGACTGGGGCACAGAGTGCTGCAGGATGCATTCCTCATAACATGGGATGCACTTCTCCTGTAAGCCGCCGCCCCCCCCCCACCCCCCGTCTTCGCAAAATACAGGCCGACTGAGTGTAGATCATACTAATAGCTCCAACCTGGCCACGACAGGCCTGGTATACTTACCCATCACGCGTGGAAGGTATGCTGACTG